CTTCACCACCCTTATCACGAATGACAGCCACCACGTACTGAGGATGTGACCGTGAGCCGGGCACTGGAGAGGACTTTACATACACTGTCACACTCCGTCTTCCCCACAGCGTATCACAGGTGAGGAACTGACCACATCCAGGTTCGGGAATGTCCTAGACACAGTGCAAGGAACGTGCTGTCCCACAGTGCTGTGGAGAGGAAGAGGCCCAGGATCTGGGCTCTTCCACTGCAGGGACAGTTGTGGGCCACCCAACCTCCCTTCCTTTCTCTTCCACCTTCACAACTCAGATGCATGCTGCAGACTAATGGTGGGGATAAAATGGCAGCAGCAGTACTGAGAAAGCCAGCCAGCGAGAGGCTGTGAACACAATTCTTTCTTATATTGTCAATCTCTGCCAGGTCCAGACTCAAGGTACCACCCGCAGGTGAGAGTCTGGTCTGTGGCATCAACACTGACCCCAGACTCCTCTCTGCAGTATACTGGGTGGGAAGGTTGGAAGAGCCCCAACCTCCTGTGCAGTTCATAAGTTAGTCCGTTGGGTTGGTCCTGTCATTCACATGCATCAGTGGGTTTCTCATGCCAGGCAGTAGAGGGTGGGGCAGAGACTGGAATGGTTTTTGCGAAGAAGATCCTCCAAAAAAAGCTAAAATGTGGAGGAAGAAATTTCCCTTACTCCCTGGTCTCTGCTGAGAAGCCCTTGCTGAATGGGGGCAGAGAGGGGCTCTCAGCAGACTGAACACGGCTGTGCTTCTCCTGATCCTCAGAGCGGCCCACAGCACTGCCTTCTTCAGAAGGCACAAGAAGCATGAGATCAAATCCTGCTCCCTGGCTGACTAGCTGTGTGCACCTCTCTCATCTCCATTTTCACCATCTACAAAATGAGGAGCCAAAGAGTTGTCGCAGGGCTTTAAGGAGATAATGAACGCAAAGCACATAGTGTATTAAGCATTCAGGAACTATTAAGCCAAAGACTAACTCCTGAGATACTCTTAAGTGTGCATGGAGTGGGGACCTTAGACCTGGTGAAAGTTGGAAGTTTCTATTCCTGGACACTCTCCCATGGAGGCCTCAGTGTTGTTAGGACGCATGTTTTGGACTGGCTACAGTTGAGCGCTTCAGCTGCTAGGCAGAGTTGGGTGTCAGCAGATCAACAGAGCAAAGGGGTCAAAGAGACCCTGAGAAGTTCCCATTGGTGGGAAAGAACGGAATGCAAATGTCAGCTTCATTTGTGAGGCTGAGAAATGGCCAGCTATGTGGGCAGAGAGAGGTCTCCACAGAACACTTAGATCTGTGTTGTTTTGAACTTAGATCAATTGTGATTCCCCATGGAATGATGGAAATGAAAGGAAATTTAGAGACCTGGGGTTCTAATCTCTTACTTAGCAGATTAGAGGAGTGAGAATCAGAGCTGTGTGGCCCTGTTCCCACGAGGGGCACACGGCTGGCGACGGAGCTGGGGTTACAGCCTGGTATCAAATCAATCATTTGTCTCATCCTTCCTTCCCCTAACAAGATTAAAATCCAAACTCAGAACTATGCTTCATACCAAGAGCTCCTATGGAAAATGTCTGGTTTTTCTAAAGGAACTAACAATTACCAAATACCCGCTGTATGCTCAGATGATACCCAGAGTCTCATATGGGCTGAAGTTTTTGATTCTCCACCCAGTGCCAGGGGAGGTGCCATGGCCTGTCACGTGACTGAGGAGACAGTGGAGACTTTGCCAGGCCTGGTCACTGGGGATGGGAGGCGGATGTGTGTGGTCATCTGTAAGACTCCACAGAAATCCACTTATCTGAAGGCTAGCTTTCTTTTCCCAATTCAGTGTTTTTATCACTAAAAAAAAAGCATTGTATATGTATATTAATAATGGTTTCCAGGTAGGCAGAAAAGATCTTTTGAAACACATTTGCTTTTTAAAGAAAAATAAAAATCTACTCCCTTATGCTAACTCTAAAGAAATAATAACTCACTCAATTTAGCTTTTGATAGCCTTTTTAACAATACTGAAATAGACTTCATTTACAAGTACTCTGTGCAGATTTCATTAGTTATATAAAGCAGAAATAAACCTTCAATGATATTAGCCTCTCATAGGTGTCTCTAAAATCTTCCGTGGTTTATAATATTCTTTTATTTTAAACATACTTGTTCATTGTCAAAAATACGGAGGATTTCAACAAACATTCAAATAATAAAGCCTGCCCAATTTTCCACCCCACCCGCCGTGATACCACCTGTGATACACTGGTGTGTGTGTGTGTGTGTGTGTGTGTGTGTGTGTGTGTATTTTAAAGAGGGTGAAATTAAATGCAACAAAACAGAACATAAGAAACCAATGTAAGAGACATAAATTTCAAAGCAAGACAATCAGAGATCTTCACTATTTATCATATTGTCTCTTGTTTACTTCCAAATAGGTGCCTATATCTTCACATACAGAGAATTCACACAAAACAACATATGATAGAACTGATCTGAACAGGATGAAGAAAGCGTTTTAGATCTTTAAGACCAGACAGTAGGGAAGTAAAAAATGGCTGTCATAGTGTCTCTCATTCTCTTCAAAATAGTTGTCCATACCTTCATGTATGTTGAAATTATACAAAACAAAACAGGCTAAAATCACTCTGAACAAAGAATAATAGTATGCTGGATTTCACATCATGACACTATGGAATCAGCACTGGGTACCTTAGTGTCTCTTTTTCTTCAAAGTAGTTATTCATTTCATCATGCGTTATATAATCAGTTCTCATAAACTGTTTGTAGGTTCTACGCATGCATGAGTCTCTACATGTATTTCTATCCTTTCTGTGTTACAGGGAAAAATAAAGCATAGCAAGACAAAACAAACCAAATTCCTATAAAAATATGAAACGAAAAAGTCATATAAAACCACAGTACAAGGTGATCTACAATGGTTATGGTGTTGTCTCTTGTTATCTTCAATAGAATTGTCCATATTATTAGGCATAGTATAATTGAATATAGCAGTACATAACAAGATTAATAAAAATGAAACACTGTAGACAGTGTAAAATTTCAAAAGCAGGTAATAATCAAACCAGAGTGGGTATCCTAGTGAATCTTGTCATCTTCAGTGTAGTTGCCTATACTCTCAGACTTGATACTATCAATCGTAACAGATTCAAATAAAATCTGTCAATACAAAACAGCAATCCAACAAACCAGTTTCAACTAAGATCAGTCATGATAAAACAGTAAATTATACAGGACTTCAGATTAAGTTAATAGGAAATTAAAGATGATTACCGTACCGTATCCTGCTATTTTTGATATACTGTCTGTGCCCTCAACTCTAGTACAAGAAGACAAGTCCATCTAAGGGGCCAGGGATTTAGCTCAGCTGCCTAAGCACCTGCCTGGTAAGTGCAAGACCGTGAGTTCAATTCCTGGTACAAAAAAAAAAAAAAAAAAAAAAAGCCATGGTATCAGAATATAATCCATTTAAACAGAGCAGTGTGAGTAATGTGGGGTTTAAGTTCTGATACACTATTAACAATATCCTCTGCCTTTTTTTTTTTTTTTAGACTATTCCTCCCCTTTCACTCCCACATGGTACCACATATTTTGGGTCCCTCAGTTTTTAGATTGGGGGGCAAACTGCTATTTACCTAAGTGGTTCCGAACCTTCTCTGGTGTTTAATGAACAGAATGTTACACATTTAAGAGCAGTAGGTTCACAGAACACTGAGTGACAATTACACTGTGTTGTGACAAGCCTCCCCTCTGACCCCTGCCTCACACTCCCATATTAGTGTGGTAATTGTGAGTGAGCGTGAGTGGTACCTTTGTTTACCTCCACGGGACAATATCCACATGGTACCACAAACGGAAGTCCCCAGTTTGCGATCTGCTCACTATGTTGTAGGTGACATATGCCCATTCCAGTACCACGCAGAGTACATTTGTGACGGCTGAAAAGCATGCATCAAATTAATTGTGACTTTTCACTGTGTAATAATTTTACACGTTTTTTTCAGCTAAAACTACTCCATGGATTACTATAAAAGTAATCCATGTTTATAAAAACCGTGCTGGTCCATTATAACTACTCAAAAGGCATCTGCTAAAAGATTACACTTTCTTAAAGAATGTACCTATACTTCTATAATCCCAGCACTGGGGAGGCTGAGGCAGGAGAATCCTTTGCAAGTTTGAGACCAGCCTGGGCTATAAAGTGAGCCCAAGGCCAGTCTGAACTGCATAGAGAGACCCTGTCTCCAAAAGATCAAAAAAACAAAAAAATACACTTATTTCATGCACTCCACGAGCTGTGCAACAGTAAATAATCGTGGAAACCGTGAGGCAGAGCGCTGCACCGCAGGGCTGGCTTCCCCTTTGTGGTTTTCACAGGAATTAATGATCAGGCCTTCAGCCAGAGGAGGGTGGGTGAGCCTAACTACGGGCGGCCGGCAGGCCGCTGCATCCTGGCCTTGCGCTTCCCTCTGCTCCACAGCGTCCTCGGAGCCGGTCGCGGTGGGGCTGGGCCCAGTCTGAGGGTGTTGTCCGGGAGCTCGGGGCGCTGCAGGATTGTAGCACTCAGGGGCCGGCTCCTGCGGAGGGCTGAGCGTAGGCTACGGCTCCGGGGGTGGGGGGACCGGAGACAAGCTGAGCCCGGCGGCCGAGGTCAGTGGGGCTGTAGAGCAGGGCCTGGCCTGGGGTGCGGGAAGCTGAGCCAGGGGTGTGGCCAGAGTGCGTGGTGAGACGGGCGCGGCGTGGCCTTAACTCTAGGCGGGGGTGTGGCCTAGGCTAGGGGCGTGGCCTGCAGAGTAGGGCCTGGGGGCGTGGCCGAAGAGCTAAAGTCTGACAGGGGTGAAGGGCGTGAGCCGGAGGGGCGTGGCCTAAGGTGAAGGGGCGGGCCTGACGGCGAGGCCCGAGCCCGGGGGCGTGGCTCGGTGGAGCAGGGCTGGAGGCGTGGCCCGGGAGCGGGCTGCGGAGCGCGGGCTGGGAGTGTTCGCCGCGCTTTCTGCCTGGGTCATTCAACCCGCCGCCAGCCCCGCGGCCGCGCTGCAGAGAGCCGGGCGAGCACCAGTCTCCTGCTCCGGAGCCGGCGGGGGTTCGGGGACGCCCGAGCTTGAGAGGTTCGGTAGAGGAAGGACCGCGCGAGGTGAGGATGCGCCGGGGACGCTGGCCCTGCTGGCAGGCGCGGGATGCCGGCTGTTAAGTGGAAAGCGGGTGGGGGACCGAGCCCGTTGTCCTCCTTGGTTACTCGGGGGGCGGAGATCCCCGAAGCCACCCGCATGCCGAGGCCACAGGTTGGAGGGGCCGGTGGCGCGCGGGCCCCCTTCACGCGCGGCGCCCAGTGGCGCCCTCTGGCAGAGCGACTGGTGCCTTCTCCAGGGCACCGGGAGAGGTGGCGATCGGAGGACTTGGGTACAGAGCAACTTTTCCCTTGCTCCGTGCGGGACACCACAGGAGAAGCCAGGGGCGCCCGATGCCGGTCGTCTGCGGACTGGACGGAGCTGGCAGAGTTGGTCTGGCTTCTGCCCAGGATTCGCGTGGGGAATTGGTGGCCGAGGCCTGGGAAGGTGGAGCCGCTCCGCCGTCGGGTCTGGGCGCTCGGTGCCTGCGGGCTGGCGTGCCATCGCCTCACTGCGGTGATGGAGCCCGAGAATTCGGCCCCAGCCGGGGCCGGCGAGCCCGCCAAACTCTGGCGTGGTTGCTTCTCGGCCGTGGATAATGATGCTTTTAAATAGAATACTAATAGTTTGAGTTTGTTCACCAACTTGTTACCATAGCTTCTCAAAGTTTTATCTTTCTGGCCTCCTACCCCGTTTTCTCTGCAGTTCGCCACATCCCCCTTTTTCCCTAGTGTTTTCTTCGCTGATAATCCCTCCAGATCTCTCAGCTCTTTGCCCTCCTTTATTCCACTTGTGCACAGGCACAGAAACTTCGCCCCATTTTCCTTGTTCTTTTCCCTCTAGATTATTTTTTCACTTTTCCTAGTAAAAGTCTCTTTACTCTCTTTGCCTCCCTCTCCCCTCTTTTCAAACTTCTCAGTCGCATTGTTCTCCGGGTGCCTGTTAATTATGCACCCCACCATGAGCTGCTGGACCTTGTTCTCTGCCCTTCCCCCATCCTCTAGAGTCTAGAGCTTTAGGTCACCGTTTCTTCTGGTCTCATTTTAATTTTCATCTACCACCTGTGGCCCCAGATCTGCCGTCCTCCGCCTTCCTCACTGTTCTGTGCTCCTGTGCTTGCGTGGGTTTTTTCCTGCTTTTCTGCTGTTTCTTCCACGGGTACTTTCTTCCCTCTTCCCAGCCTCTTCCACACAAGCTCTTTAGCCTGCTGCCTTCTCATAGTGCACCTGGCCTCAGGTTGCTCTGTGGCTTTTTACAATCCCTCAGCATTGCTAGGTTTCTTTTCCTCTTTTCCCATCAGACTTGCATTGCCTGGGAGACACCTGTATTGCAGGATGTCTGGAGGAAGCCTGGAGACTCAGGGCGGCTGCGTTTTCCTGGGGGTGCCTCGGCCTCAGGATGTTCCCATCTGCCCTGCTTTGGTCTTTATTGATATTAATTAATATGGCTTCAGAAGCATTTGTTAAACACTTACTAGCACTATTCCAAGGCCTCATGTGCAGTCATATTCATTTCAAATCCTCACATCTCTGTCACATAGATCTATGATTGTCCCCATTTTACAGATGAAAAAGGAGGGACTCAGAAAAAAGTAGGCGATAAAAAATAGGCTGTGTAACAGTAGAAACCCCTTTCTCACTAGGCACTCTGTGGCAATGAACCTCATTGACCCAGACCTGCCTGCAGTCCAGTTGTGAAAATGAGGTCATGGCTTGACATGTTGTGTTTCGTCTGCAGTGTATACCAGTGAGGGTACAGATTCTGTGCCTATAGAAATGTATGGGGAAATTGAATGGCGGTGACCAGGAAGAAAATGTCCTATGAGAGACCAGTGCCACCCACCTCGCAGGCATTGAGTGTTTGGTTTCACTTTAACTGGATGGACTTTGGGGTCCCTGAGAACTCAGTGATTTTACAAGCCTTGTTTATTTCTGTTTCCTTATGTAATCTTGAGGCCTTGTGCAAACATTTCCTTGTTAGTTTTCACTTTCCTAATAGTTGGAGGCAAATATTTCTGCTTTCACAGATACTCAAGCAGCGTTGGTGAAGTACACACTTGGGTACCCAGAGGGTACCTTCCACTCCACAGCCAAGGAAACAGTGGCCAAAAGAGAAGTGAAAGGACATATCCAAGGAGAAGAAGAAGGACAGTGGATCCTGCAGCTGCAGGACCCTGGTCTTCTGACTGCGCCCAAGGCTTGATGCCTGGCCTGATAACTTTGTGGGCTGACTGGTCTACCTGCTGTTGAAAGCATTGTGATCTGTCTTTCCTGTTACTCTCCTGAGCTAAGAGGCATGAGAATGATTTAGTTAGAGTAGAAATCATCAGTGGGTTTCTTTCTTTTTTACCTGAAAGCTTAACATTAAAAAAAAAGGTTGCTTTTGAGACATGTAATGGCATAACTGGGATCATAACATCATAGCTGTATATGTTTGAATGTTTTGGGAAGAATTCTTATTTCCAAAACACCCAAGAATGAACACCAAAGGTACATGGCTCTCTGGAGGCAAACCATATTGTACCTAGGAATTTGAAAATCAGTGACTGGAATGTTTGTCTCTTGCCTCGATAGGGGGAAATAAATCAACACAAAGTGGGTACATGATTTTTCTCCATCACAGTCTAACAGAAGCAAAGAGGAGTGTAAAGCAGAGGCTGAGGACTGCTGCATCTGTTGGCCTCTGCCTACCTCTGCCCACTCTGGGTTCCAGCCTGAGGTTTCCATGCTGATCCCCAGCATTGTCAGGGAGCATCAAGTGTGCTGTTTACCCTTGATGCCCAGCTCCTTCCACATCAGCCTTTCTGGACAGACTTAAACCTTGCTATCCCGACTTCACAGTCCTGTTAGGTTTCTCAAATGCCCAGGTGGCCCATGTTGTTCAGATGAAAGTCACTGTAACTGAGCAGCAGTTTGCTCCTAAGTGGCATAGAGGTCCAGGAGGCAGTCCTGCCAGAGCCTTGTCAGAAGCAGCAAGACCGAGGCCTGAGAGCAGGGCTGCGTGGTGTAGGAAGTTCCTGGGCCTCCTTCTATGTATTGTTCTATAACCTGCACAGCCCGGAGCAGAAACTCACCTCAGAGCCCTCTACAAGGTAGATGATTCTTGCTTGCTGGGCTGAAGAAAGAGTCCACAAGGAAAGCAGGTCCTCGACCTGGGGACCTGGCAGAGCTGCAGGTCTCTTCCTGGCCCTCTCCCAGATATGGATGTCGTTCTCTGCGCCATGCCAACCCTGGGGAGCTGTGGCAAGCTCCCGGGTGCAGAGAAGGGGGCATGCCCTTTCCACAAGACTCTGGGAATTTGCTGTGATTGGGATGGCAACACTGGTCGATCAAGGAATAACCCATCCAATGGTCTTGCCTTTAGGACGTCACCTGACTTAACCAGGACCTTCAAGGGCTGGATTTCCTGGTCCGAGAAACATTTCTCCCCTTTCCCTTGACCAGAGGCCCTCAGTGTCTCTGTGGGACATGTGAAGCTGACCTGCGGTAATTTCAGGGACCATACATCAGGTGTGATGGTAATGCCTTTTGTGCGCCCATTTACTTGTACCTCATTTCTGGAGTCAGCCACAGGACATTGAAGAGGTCTCTGGAACAGGGAGGAGCTAACCTGTCCCCTCACCCCCATTAACACGGATCCCCAGTGTTTCCCCAGACTGACAGGCTATCCCTAGGGAAAAAAAAGAACACAGGCCTGCAGTGGCCAGAGTGGAGTGTTTCCTTGGGCCTCCAGCCTGTCCCCGCTGGCCTTTAACTGTCCTCTTCTCCTCCTTCGGCCCCACCCAGTCGCACCCGCCTTCCCAACCTGCCCATGGCAGACAGCAGCCTCCTGGGACTCCCAGGGGAGGCCCAGGCCAAGTCTTCACTGTCTGACAGCAGCCAGTGCGAGGCCTGCAATGGAACATGTTCCTGTGTTGCAGATCAGACTTTTGATCACTGTCTATTGTGTATGATAGGAACATTGAGCGCTCTGTGCTATTTTGAGTGTTAAAATTATAGTTGTTCCATTAAACAGGTTCCTAAGATAGGTCTTGCTCTTTAGCTACCAAGTATGCTATAGGTGGAGATAGATGAACGGACCTCAAGCCATAAACTGCTCAGCCATGTGCTTTTAAACATATTCTGTGTGTGCTGAGGTTGCCTCTGCAGCAGAAAGAAAATAGCTACTGCTTTCCGAAATGTGCTCGGTTTCCACCCTGGGTAGTGGGTACTCCTGTAATCTATAAGATCTTTCTAATGCATGACCTGCCCAGTTGTGAAATTCTGTGGCTACGCAGAGGCTGCTGTCCCAGGTGTGATGCCAATCCCCTTTTGTGTGCCACAAGGATAACTGTACTTATTGGGTATGTTTTATGTGCCAGGCTGTGTGTTAGATGGAAAAGTAATCAAAACCAGCCTCGTTTTTGTAAACAGGCTGCACTTTCTTGTCTAGGGGGAGAGGCAGAATGTAGAAAGCTCAGTGGTCATAAGTGCAGTGTGTGTTGAGGTCAGCGTCTGCTGGGGGTGTTAACAGAGTACATGCAAGTCCTAAGACCCAAGAAAGCTTCTTGGAGGAAGAAAGAGAGCGGGCCAGGCAGGAGATGACAGTGGGGGCATTCCAGCCCTGGAGACTGCGTAAGCAGAGGTGGGATACAGACTTCTGTCTGTGATGCTGGGACCCTCAGCTGTTCCCTAGGGCTGCGCTCCCGCCTTGTCATTGGAAGCCACTCTGTGAACCAAACGCATGATGCTAGCATCAACACCTAGGAACTTGTTGGAGGAGCAAGCTAGGGCCTATTCCCACCCCAGATGCTGTGGGTGCATCCTAACAGTCTGAGCTGGAACTGGCTTCCAAGGGGATTTTCATGCCTGGTGACGTGGGAGAGTCACTGTTCTGGAGCTCTTGGTTTCAAGAGGTGCTGACAGCTGCTGCTAGTTTTATTATTTTTTTATTTTATTTTTTTGTGGTGCTGGGACCTCACCTCTAGGCGAGTGCTGTGTCGCAGAGCCACACCCCAGCTCCTGAATAGCTGTCCTCCTTGCCACAG